AAAAAAAAAAAAAAAAAAAAAATCCATGGAATAAAAGCTGGCCATGTACTGACACTCTGTACCAATACACCCGCACAGGTACATACTCATTTGCTTAATGTTGGGCATTTGATTTATACAAAATAAAGACTGTTTCATGGAGCTTTTACTCTACTGCAGAAAGACAGATGAGTAAACTACCATTCTTACTATGGTTGATAGGGACTGTAAGATAAGAAAGAAAAACAAAGCATAAGTGTCAGGGTGGGGCTGCGTTTACAAGCGCAGTCAAGGAGGCTAGGGAAATGACAGAGACCTGACCAAAGTAGGAGGAAAGCTCGTTGCCAGGTCTTTCAGGAATCCCCAGGGAGCCCCGTGAACTCTGAGACAGGCATGCCTGAGGTGCTTGTGAGTAATGCATCTGGCCAATGCTGCTGAAGAGACAGCACAGGAACAGAGGGTATGTGGGTCTGAGAGCCCACGGCACAGACCCTGGCTTTAACACGGAGACAGGAAAGCCTTGGGAGGCTCTGCGTATAGCAGTGAGACAACCACATGCAGCAGGAGCACCTTGGACACTCTGGAGAAAACCAGGTTTGGGGCAGAGGGGGCGCACGTGATGTCAGTGGAGAGCTAATACACTCATCCAGGAAAGAGGTCAGGGAGGGACTGGGGTGCAGGGCTATGTAGTTCACATGCAGATGGACAGTATTCTGATGGCAGTAGATCTGTGGGCAAACTAGATGTGAGAGAAACAGAAGAGGCAAGGATGACACTTTAGTTTTTTATCTAAACAACTGAAGATATGGCCTGCCACCCTTGAGATGAGGAAGACTGTAGGATAAACAAACATAAGGATTCAGGAAATTTTAGGAACTCAGTTTTAAACACATTACTTTAGCTAGCATGGTGGTGCATGTCTGTAATCCCAGCATTCTGGGAAGCAGAGGCAGAGAACTGTAAGACTGAACCTAGCCTGGGCAACTTAGCAAGACCCTGTCTCAAAATTAAAAAAATAAAAATAAAGGGATAAGGCTGTAGATAAGTGTAAAAGTCTTGGGTTCAATCTCTAGTACCACAAAATAACACACACACACACACAAACTCTGAGACATCTACCAAACATACAGAACTTCAGAAAAGTCTGAATGTGGCTCCACTGTACAAATAGTATAATGAACTGCTAAGAGAAGTCTGGCTGAAATAAATCTAGGTGTCATCCCTAAAGAGATACATAGTTCTGGATCTAATCCACACTTAGGGATTTGGGCAGTGTGAATAAGTCAGCATCAGACTGTGGAATGGACACAAATGTAAAAAGAAAGCCAGAGAAATGTGTTCCCTAAAAGCCAGGTGACAAATGTTCTGGGAGGAGGAAGTGGTAAATCAATACTGTCAAAAAATTCAGACAGATCAAGTAAGACAAAGACCAAAAATAAATCACACACACACACACACACACACACACACACACACACACACACACACACACATCAACCACAGTATTTAACAAGGAGGTCTCTGAAAACCTGGAAAGTTGAGGTGAAGGGATAAATCCTTCTCCCTAGAGTATATTTTAAGGAGAAATGGAGGCAAATATAGGCAATTCTTTCAAGTCTTCTGCTTTAAAGACAAAGAGAGAAGACAGATAGGAGGCAAGTGGGCTGAGGGTCTTTTTAAAGAAAAACGTATTTGTAATAGGGAAGGAACCAGATAGAGAATGAAAAGTTAATGATTCAGTAGAGAAAAGAATTAATGAACAATGTCCCCAGCAGGCAAAGGGACCAACTCTGGTAAACAGAAGGGCAGGAGGTAGCCAGGATATATGAACACAGGTGCAGACGGGGGTGGGAATGAGCAGGTACATATACAGATTATTTTCTAGTTGCTCCACTTTTCTCAGTGAAGTAAAAAGGCTGTTGGCTGAAAGTGAACAATGTGGAGGAGGTAGGTACAAGAAGTTTCACAATTTTAGAAACTGTAGTTAGGAGTGGGAGAAGACACTATGAAAGTGTGGTGTGACTGGAGGCAGCATAATGAGCTCAATGCAGGCTAACTCATCAGCAATAAACTGCTCAGCTTGCCTGTCCTGATCTTCTACAATTCCTGTACACTGCTGTACCGGTACAGACACGAACAGGAAAGACATATTTAGATTAGTTTATAATTTCCCCAAAGAACAATGTAGTTGAGAGAAAAAGATTTAAACGTAAAAGCAAGACAGTGACTTTAAGGATTAATCATGAAATCACAGCTGAGTGAAAAGGAAAAAATGCAAATACAGGAGGAACAATAAAAAACTGGTAAAATCAGCTGGGGGTAGAGGGTGGGCATACCTGTTTTCCCGATTGCCCAGCTGTAGAAGCCTGTTGCAAGATCCCAAGTGTGAGCCTTCTCTGGGCAACTCTGCAACCTAGCGAGACCATATCTCAAAATCAGCGGGGAAAGGCTGAGGATGTAGCTTAATGCAAAGACTAAGCTCAATCCCAGTACTGGGGGAGAGCAAGAGAAGAGAGGTAGGCTAAATGGGCCCCAATGAGGAAAAGGAGGGTAGGCATTAAGAGTTTACTAAAGAAAAAGTGAACTGGAAAGAAAAAGAAAGATCACAAAAGGATTCCAGTAACAGTATAGTAATAACAGAATGGTAAAGGGAGTGAAAAATGGATAAAGGGAATGGCTGAGGTATTGCAGGAATCATCTAAATTAACACAGTAATTACACCAAGAGAACAAAGTGAAGTAAATGCAATGCCCAATGACTATAATAAAGAAGTGGTTAAATGAGGAACAATTAACATGGGAGGTGAGTTTGGGTGCCGACAGGCTTTTCAGGCCCAGAGAGACATCTTTTGAAGGATGTAGAAGAAACCTACATACTGAAATTAAATCTGAATATACACCTTCAGAAATCATTTCGCCTCCATGAAGACAAGCAATGAATTTTTTGCTCAGTACCAGATGATGCTGACAGATGCAGACCCTCAAGAAGCCCCTCCCACAGTGACATGTAATAAATGCACATGCTCACGTGGTACAGTGTACACCTGACGTATGCACCCAACAACAAAAAAAACCCAACTAGTTTTTGTCTCCCTGATGTCTTCTTCTTTGTGCTGGCCAACACCCAACCCCTCTCCTCCTGCTTCATAACATGTGTAACTGCTAGAGACCTGTTACTCTTCCATGTAACTGCATCTCAGCATCCTCTCCAACTTCTCTGCTCTGCCCCTTCCCAACCCTCAACAGACCTGCTATCTCCATGAAGCCCACCCCATTAGCCTTCACATATGAGCAGAAACACAACACCTGCTTTCAGTGCCTGGCTGACTTCAACCAAGACAACATTCTCTACTTCCATCCAAGATTTTGCAAATGACAGAGCTTTGTTCTTTTCTATAGCCAAGTAAAATCTGACTGTATAAACACATTTTCTTTGTGCAGGCATCCACTGATGGCCTAGACTGACTCCAAAAGGGGACACTGAGAATGGTGCTGTGACAATGGATGTGGGGGCACCATCCTCAGAAATGATCATATTTCTCAGGGGAATACATCTAGCAAAGGCTCAGCTTGAGCACACAGCAGCTCTGCCCCTCCTCGAGGAGCCTATAGTTTCCTTAGTGCCTGTGCTAATTTACATCCCCATAACAGGGTACAAGAGTTTCCCCTTCTCACACCCTTGCCAGCATTTGCCATTTGTCTTTTTTTTTTTTTTTTGATACTGGGGATCAAACACAGGACCTTGCACTTGTGAGGCAGGCAGCAGCATTTGTCTTTTTGATTTCAACCATTATAAATAGACTGATACCATAATCTAGTACTTCATTAATGGGTTGTTTAGATTTTCTATGCCTTCATGGTTAATCTTGGAGAATGTATGTACCTATACACGTATCTATTTTTTCTTGGTTTTTCAATTTATTGGTGTACGACTGTTCATAACATAGTTTTCACTAATGATCTTTTATATTTCTTTGGTATGGTACCAGTTTTTCATCTCTGAATGTGTCTAAATCTTCTCACTCTTTTCCCTGGTTAATCTACCTAAAGGTTTGTCAATTTTCTTTCCAAAAAACCAACTCTTTGTTTTGATCTTTTACATTGTTTTTCTAGTTTGTTTTTATCTCTGCTGAATTTCTCATTCAGATCATAAATTATTTTCCTACTTTTGTTGAATTGTCTGCCTGTATTCTAACTCGCTGAGCTTCCTTGAAAGTATCATTATGAATTCTTTTCTAGGTGGCGTAACAGTTTCCCTCTCTTTGGGGTCAGTGCTAGAGAGCTCTTGTGTTGAGAAGCATCCTGTGACCTTGCTTTTCCTGTTTCCTTGTCCCTGTGTTCACACTATAAATCTGATGATCAGTCACCTTTCCCAATTTTACAAACTCTCCTGGAGAGGTGTTCCAGTGTGCTGGCTAGGTGCCACGTCAGCTGTGGTTTCAGGTAGGGACAGTAGTGTGGAGCCTGTGCAGCTTCTCAGCTGAGTCTACAGGTGCCCCCACAGCCTAGGTCCCAAGGCTTGAGTAATTGCTTCTTTTGGATATAGTTCAGTTGAGGCTGGCTTGCCAGTGGCTTGACACAGGCACCTATCTGTCACCTCCTGTAGGTGTACAGGGCAGGGCCACTCTGCTGGACCTTGTTGGCGGTGTGATAGGAATGGTAATGGAGGCCAGATATATGATGGCTTCTGAGCACGGTACGGGCCAGGGCCACTCCAGCAGGTCCAGGAATTCTGGTAGCGGGAACAGGGTGCTTGCTAGTGTCATAGGCCAGGGACCAACCAGGCTGCCCCAGCAGGCACAAGGACAACACACTTATCAGTGTCAGAGGGCACGTGGAGGCTGCAGGGGCCTGTGGGGTGAAGCCCAGGGAAGTGAGGGGCTGCTAAGCTCCTTCCCAGAGCTATTCCTGCAGCTGACGGGGTGGTAAGCAAACTTCATGATTCTGTGTAGCATTTAAGTACAGAAACTTTCCTAAGTTGATTTTTTCAATATACTTAAACATGTAAACAGCTTGAACCCACCTTTTAAAAAGTTCGGTCTTATTGCTAAGTATTAAGACTCTTCTAGACTGTGTTCCATATATGATCAAACAGCTCATGTGCCCCTGTGTAAACGTACCTATGTTATCACAGGTAAACGATGAGGGTGTGAAGGAATCTGCTTAATATCACAATAATCTGAACGTGTGACCACGAACAAAGCACTCTTCTTTAACCAAATGAGTTAACTATAATTTTATCAAAATAATCACTCAAAAATTCTATTTTAGAAAATATTCATATAGAAACACATGCACAGCTAGATCAATCAAGTCCTTAAAATCACAACATAATGGCAGTCACATTAGGACAGAACTAAAAATACACATAAATCATCATTAGAAAGAGTTCATTTAATTAGAAATATGTTGTGCTAAAAAAGACAAACAAAAAAGATATATATTATGCTTGTTATCTACCATACCTGGAAGTAATATTAACATTATCGCTTTGTCAACTCATCCGTTTTCCTCCAGATCAGGATGTCCACTGTGGGATGCTATGTGTGCTGTGGCTCTCCACAGTGCACGCTCGTGTTTTCCACTAGGTGAAGATGTGTCCTGCTAGAGGCTATGAGCAGAGTCAGTGTTCAGACACAGCCCAGCTCTGCTCTGCACCAAGAGTGCCAGCAGCAGCTGCATCCACCCTGGCTCTGCAGAGCTACCACTCTTCAACAGGCTTTGCAGTCTGCTATGTACATCAGAAGTAACCCAGTGTTTTATTTCTCTTAGAATCTAGTCTATTCTAAAAGCCACTGAAATACAAACATGTTAAGATTGGGGGAGGGAGTCTGGAGATGTAGCTCAGTGGTAGAGTGTTTGGCCTATCATGTACAAAGCCCTGGGTTTGAGCCCCAGCAATGCAAAAAAATAAAATAAAATTTCAGTGAGAATAAACAAATCAGGCACTTCTTTCAGGTCCATGCACCATGTACTATACAGAAGAGGCAACTGTAACACTGGGTTAGGAGCACACCCTATTACAATCAGAATGCCTGGATACAAGCTTTAAAAAGTCACTCTATCTCCGTGCATCTCATTTTCCTATCCTAAGGAATGGGAATGATAATAATGCTAATGCCTACTGAACAGCATGCTTTTTATTCAGGGTAAATATGGTTCTTGAGGGGATGTGAAAAAATTCTCTCTTTTTTTGTGGTGCTGATGACTGAATCCAAAGCCCATACATTGAGCAACATCCTCTTTCTTACAATTTCTATTTTCAGACAAGGTCTTCTTAACTCCCTAAACTGCTTTCAATGGGCTCAAACTTGTAATCCTCTCACTTCAGCCTCCCAGAGTGCTGGGATTACAAGCATGCACTGCTCTGCTTGACTAAAATCTTACTCTACAAACAAAACAATGGTAAAAAATAGTACATTTTAAAAAATATACAGGAGAGAGTATTATAATCCATCTTCCAAAAATAGTCTAAAAAGAATCCTCATGAAGCCTGTAAGAGGTTGAGATTTTTTTCATTAGAGGAGTGACAGGGAACCTTTCAGAACTTTCAATGATACAAACAGCTCACCGTGGCTGTATGCCATAAGTTCACCACCACTGACTAAAAAGCCTAAAATTTTATGTGCCTGGCACATAGAATTAGTTAAAAAGAGATTTTTTTGGACTAAATGAAAAGCAAAGGATCCAAGTCTACCTAGAAATGCCAACTTAGACTCTTGAAAGCTAAAATGTGATTTCAAAGGGGGAACTCCTGGCTCTTAACACACAGTGACTTACGTGGGAGTGCAACGACTGATATGCAGGGAGTAGAATCGTCAATGCTCTGGTCATCCTCCGAGGACAAACACAGCCTCTTGTGCGGAGGGTCAGTACTGTCCTCTGAGTCTATCTCATCAGCTTCTAATGGAAGGAAAAAGCAATTAACCAAACAAGAATCTCAGAACTTCAAACCAATAAAGAAAAAACAAAAGCTTCAACTAGTAAGAACTGCAAATTTTCTTGTACATTAGCTCATTCAGTACAGTTGTGCAAAGGGACTTACAGGACACTATTTTCTCTAGCCCACCATAAATTTGCCTCCCATTCTCAAACACAGAAAGGGTTGGATAGCTGATTTATCCACAATAAGTACTGCAATATTGGGACTAGAACAATGACGGCTACCCTGGTCACAGGAACCTATAGTGCAATGGAGAGGACTGAACCAACAATTTCACAACAATGTCGCAATAGCTATGAAGGGCAAAGAGGCTGCTGCTAGTGCACAAAAAAGTTCAGACTCTAGGTACAAGAAGGTTTGCCGAAAAAAGTATCTTAACTGGAAGAGGAAGAAGCTGGGGAAATGACTACTCCTGGCAGCAGAAGCCATATGCACAGAGCCACCAAAAACAAAGCCATGAACAATTTTTTTAGCAATCTGAAAGATTAATTAGAGGCGGGAGACTGGCTTAAAGGCTATTAGAACTATTCAGATAGGAAAAGAAAATCTAAACTTAGAAAGGGGACTTAAAACAGGAAAGCTGAATTTAAAAACATCATACCATCAACAAGTCTTCATGGTAAAATAAATGTAGAAGACGAGAGAACTTATTCCTAAATACATTTATGACTTGGGACACTTATTTAAAGGAAAAACAACAAAAAAAGTAACTTTAGGAAGTGTGTGAAAGAACTGTTTCAGATACGTAAAATTTAAGGTGACTGCAGAAGCATGGTGGCACATGGTTGCAATCCCAGCACTCTGAGAAGATGAGGCAGGAGGAGTGTAAGCTCAAGCCCAGCGTGGGAAACTCAGGGGCATCTTGCCTCAAAATAAAAAAGTACTGAGGATGCAGCTGTGTGTGAAGGCAATGGACTCAATCTTCAGTAAAAATAAAACAAGAACAACCAAACTCTCCCAAACTGAATGATCCAGGAGATTACACACACACACACACACACACACACACACACACACACACAAAACACACCAAGAAAAGAGACAATAGAACTAGATTTGTAAAGATGAACTTAAAACCAAATAAATAAATAAGGAAGGAATAGGCAGAAAAGTAATAAGCTCACAAATCTCAAGACTTTGGATCTTAAACCACCCTAGATGATCACATAAAAACCTTAAGACAGTTTTGCAAAATTTTTAAGCTTCCAACAAAGGTCTATCAGACCCAAAGAGATCATCTCCCTCCCCTGCCCGGCTGCACAGTCCGCCTGGATCTCAGGGTGCGAAGCAGCATGAAGCCCGGGAATCCCAGCCAGCCAGAAGACAGCCGGAAGACAGCGCGCCTGATGCTCTCCTACCATGCCGTGGGCAGTGGAGGACGAGGTTCCCGTCGGTGTCCTGCGTCAGAGTCACAGAGTTCACAGTCTCAACTGTCACTGTGTCAGAATCCTCTTCCTCTGTGCTCATACTCAAATCTGTGTAGGAACATGCTCCAGGTCAGTTTGTAACTTCCAGACAGGAGCCTGCCCCCACCCAAAGAGTCACACAGCCATCTGCCCACCTTGTTCTTTATGTGAAACAGCAGCAAGAACTCAGGTTTCAAACACTGTCTTTTATAGCTTATAATGCATTATTTAGAGTTCGATGTGATAACCTACAAAAACCTGACTGCGTGTGTGTGTGTTTTTTTTTTAAAGTTTTACAAGGTGCCAGGATATAGCTGAGCAGCACAACACCTGCCTGGAAAACTCAAGGCCCTGAGTTTGCTTCCTGGTAACCCCCAAAATAGTTTTTACAACCCTGAATGAAAGTGAATCTGACTGAAGATATTTACCAGCACAACTCTCTACTCTTTGGTTGTTTTGTAATACGCTCACATAGGTGTTTACTTCCTAACTGTGTAGCAACGGACTCATAAAACTTTTATCTCGATCTAAGAATCACTCTTCCTAAACACTTAATCTCTATTATCTGAAAAACAGGAACACTGATTCTTGTTTTTGTTTTTTTTAATAATATTCAACAAGTCCACATATTCATCACTGACCAAACTGTTTTTCAATATATGGAGTTAGGTCTTCTTTTGAAATAGAGAACTCTCATGTAAAGTGCCTTTACCTGATATTTTACACATATACAATAGGTTTTGTTTGTTTGTTTCTGTCCCTACAAAATGAGTGAGCAGAATCTCAGAATATTATCTCATGGCTAGCAAGGATAAATACACTGGATTACAACCAGAGGTCTAGTTCAGCACCTTTCAATGTTACGAATAGTCTGCTCAGCACAGGTGCCATAGGTTCACCACTACTGGTCCAGTTGAAATCTTCATAGCTCCTTTAAATGTTCAATGACATTCTTGCCTCAATACTCAGTCTTAGTCTTGTCCACATATTTTTTACCAACTGTATAGAAGACTTAAACTTTGCCCTGGGTTCAGTTAATCACTCCATACTTATTTGACTCTTGTACCCAAGGTATCAATTCTTCTATGGTAGAAACTTAAAATCGAGGTCTAGTTACATTTGAACTTGGCCATCAAGAGTCAAGGTCCTTGAGGGCAGCTTACCTAGACAAAAGTGGGACCAGTGGCAGCCCTTCCTTCAGAATCCAGCCGTTGTTCCTTGGCCAGCAGCATCACTTTCATGTTATCCAGATCATTTCTCCGTGTGCTCCTATCTCTGCAGCACCCTGAAAAAGACAGCATTCCACAGTAAGACTAAGAACAAGTGGGAACTGTATGCCAGCAGTGTGCCAACGGCACTCAGGCCTATCTCAACCACACCATAGGAGGCCACAGTGGCTTTACACAGACCTTTGGGAAATCAGTCTTGGAAGGAGTTCCTCTACCTACTGGGTTTACACCCAGGTTCCTGGGCCAAGAAGACCCTCGTCAAAAGTCAAATATTCTCTAAAAAAGATAGGGTTAGTTATGTGAACATCAGAAATACTTTGCTTCATAAATTAGTATTAACACCCCTTTACAATACCATTATTTCATCTGTGTTAAAATTATATAAACATTGATTCATTCAAAAACCATTTTAGGATGACAGGTAAGCAGTCAGGCCAGAAAAGGTAAATTATAAGCAAGTAAGCTCTTAAATATAATGTGAAAACATTCAAAATCTGAAGTGTTTGGTTTTTAAAGGTGTCTTTCAAAATGCTTTTCATTTTTATCCCTAGGTCAAATTATTAAAAAAAAAAAAAAAAAAAGGAATAAAAAAAAAAAAAAGGTATAGAATCTAAAGTTCCTGGGGATGTTTCAACAAAAGTAAAAACCAAAATTTCCATTTTTTCAGCATTCTAATTAGAATTCCTCTGCAGGGTGGCTGTATTTGAAAACTACTGTATATAAATAAACTTGCAGTGGAAAAGGTATCTAACTCTGGAGTATAAAAAACGTGGCATTAAGAATTCCCCTATCACCAGACACTTATGTTGAAATTTTTAATTTCCTTAAGCGATATTGAAAAAAATTCTCACAATCTATTACCTTAACGGATAATAGTAACTAAATCTAAGATCATAACAACATTTAGAACTCTTAATGATATTGCAACCTATTTTCCAAAAAGGTCTTGTGGTATAAATCCTACTTTTGCTAACTATGCCATTTTTATTTTAAAAACTTTAAAGCCACAAACACAAGTGCTCACTGGTGGACACCAAGTGGCCATTTGTTGCTGTGTGAACGCAGTCTGTCCTCCCAGGCCCAGGGCAGGGAGCTTGGTTCCCTGGTGGGAGGTCCTTAGGCCAGGTGGGAGTACCTTCAGGGAGTACCTGCTGACTGTGAAGACCCTGCCCCCACCCCCTTGCAATAACAACAGCCTTGAGGCCCTAGGCAGGGACAGCTCCAAGTTGTGTGGACTTCAGCCTCCAGAACTGTGAGCTAAATCAATCTTCTCTTTATCAAGTTATCCTGCTTCAGTGTTTCATAGCAAGAAAACACATAGGAGCAGATCACATAAGTTCTTGAAAATTCTTACGGGACATTTATTAAACTGTGGGATATTATTTACATTTCGGCTCTGACTAGTGTGGAGAATGCGTACAGGAGTTACTTAAAAGACACGCTGTCCAAAAGGTGACTGTGGTTTGGGAAGGGGTCAGCAATCCCAGAAGAGATGGCAGAGCACAAACTGACACTGGGACAGAGACATGCAGACCAAGAGAAGGGAGCACTCTCAAGATGACTTGTAGGCTTTGAGCTTGAATATCTGAGTAATCTGAGACATCTAACCCTTACGAGATCTTAAACATAAGGTAGGAAGCACCCAAATGAAGACGCCAAGTTCATAGTCAGACACCTACACTGAACTCAACAGGCTAGGATTATACCTATACATTTTAGTGGCACGAAAACACCAGCGCAGTTGGAGGACACAGCTGGGATCCCAGCTCTAGTGCAGTCTAAGTGCACCTGCAAGTCAGGAAGACAACAAGCAAAGGAGACCACAAAGGATCAGTGAGACCAAAGAAGAAAAAATGTGGACCTGAAACAAGTGTCTTCAATGAATATCAGTCAACTTTGTTGAGCAAGGTGAAAGAAAAACTGCAGACACTTCTTTCATATGGCTTAGCTTTGCAGCGCTGACAATGGGAAGGGGCAGCAAGTGGGGTTGAGACAGCTGTTACTCAGAAGAGTACTTGTGAAGTTAGACTGAGAATACTTATGATCACTGCATAAAAAGCTGAGCAACGTAAGCCTTCACTCTAATACATTATACACAAAACTGAGCTTAACTTCTGGAGCCCTTTCCCCCTCAAGTACATATCAGGAAGATCGCCAGCTCTACTACTTTTTGGAGCACATAAGCACAATGCCATCAACCTACTCTGCTTTCCCTTGCTATATGATGGGTAAGTATTCCATATGCCACATTTATATTAACTACAAATGAGAAGATATAATGAAAGAAAAAACACAAAATTTTAACAGCCATTTTAACTGGTGAACTGGTACGTTAGTATTTCCTATCATTTGGTGGCTAGCTTTAAAGCAACAATACTCTAATTAATGGAAAAAAATCTAAAGTGTAGTACACTTACAGTGGTATTCTTATATTACCTTCACATCTAATTAAGAAATACAATGAGTTTCATTTATAGCTCCCAGTAAATATGACCCCATTTAATACATAATGACCTGCTAGAAAAGGAATACACATAAACAAGTAACTGTCCTGGGTTTGTTAACACTAAATTCAGTTGAAGAGTCACTCGTGCTACTTTCCAATCCAGCATTGATGTGAAGTTCTTATTCAATCTTATAGCAGTATTTCTGCTGAGTCTACACATCAACCTCACTGAGCAACTGCCAAATGATTCTCTTCTAAGACCCAAACAGGCCAAGGAGAGGCCACATTTCCTAGCTGGGGCTAACTGTAAACACACTGCTCCTGGATCCACACATAGTGTAAGAGCAAGGGTGCAGTGGGCAGGTGCTGTCAGTGGTGACCATGAGAAACACAGGTGGCAACATGCTGACCACAACCAACAGGGTTGGGATTCTAAGTTAGAAGGTTGGATGAGCCAGTGTCACAGGAGCAAATACTATTAGAGTAGGAAAGCCAGCAAGGTACAGAACAGCGGAAGTAGGTGAGCTGGAGACTGAGAAACATGGGCCAAGCCTCAGACAGTAAGCTACATTTAGTTTTCAGTTTGCCTGACCCTATATAATGTAAGAAAGAAAGGTCTGCGTATCTCATCATCTTCCAACTCTTGTCCACTTTTTTATTTTTACCACATTGAGACCCCATCTTTTATGACCTTTACTGTAGCAGAAGCATTTTCAAATACTCCTGTTTGTTCTACATTTTAATGAGTAAATGGTATGGAAGCTAACCAATAAATATTACTGATCATTTTTTTGAGGTTGCTATTTAAAAACTTTATGATTAGCACCATTACCAACTATTGCATATAAGCTATGTCTTAGGGAAATATTTAAAAGGAAAGTTGTCTAGTAGTGCACAAATAACTTGAAAGATATAGTTTAAGGTATATTTGTTTTCAAATAAAACAGAAAAATCTTCATGCCAGATAAAACGTAAGTTTCTTACATCTTGAACATGGGTACACGCAAGGATGTCAGAAAACAGATAAGACCACAGAATAACATCTTCATGAATAAGGATTTTAATTCCCATTAGGAACACTTCACACTCGAGGGCTAAAGCTTTAGACTATGGTTCCAGACTCCCGGAAATGGGCTGCTTTACATACTTTCTGGAAAAAAATTGAGAAGGCGATTAATCAACAGAGTGTGTAAAGTCAAGGTACCTAATTAATGTTCATCATGGCTTGGTTCTTTTTTTTTTCTTCCCGGTATTAAGAATCGAACTCGGGTCCTTTCACTTGTGAGGCAGTCAGCAGAACCACTGAGCTAAATCCCCAGCACAGCATGGCTAGCTTCCGAGGTGATAGACAATCTCACTACACTCCATAAAGGTTAATAAAGTTGTTAATGGAGTTTGTTTTAATTGACTTCAATTGCTTGAAGTTGATTCAATTATCAACTATGGAAAAGAATGTCACCATTTGAGTAAAGACAACTACCAGGTAATATGGGTCATTTTTAGGCCTAAGATTTCATATCTGGCTCTGCAACAAGATCATACTGCCTACTAAAAAGATTATCTTTCACCCAGTGCACGATTTCAGGGCTTATAATGTGTCTGGCTAGACTGAGATTTCACATCCGAACCCGAGCACTTCTGCACAAGGAACCATCAGAAACTCTTTAAGAGGAATACAAATTATTACCACATTCCCAATTTATACTCAGGTTAATTTTTAAAGTGCACTTCCTTACCAGAAACTAATACATACACTGGCAGTATATAAACCTAGTAAGTATTTCTTTTGCTACAAAACATTTGATGGTTAAGTGAATAATTAGCCTTGCTTACTGGCGCTTCAAAGAATAACCCAACGGTGTACATAACCAAAATGACTTTTTGTTTGTGTTTTGAGACAGGGTCTCACTATGCAGTCCAGGCTGGCCTCAAACTCATGATGATCCTCCTGCGTAAGCCTCCACAGTGCTGGAGTTATAGGCATGTGCCATTACACGTAGCTCAAAATGACATATTAAAATATAGGATGACCAAAAGGGAAAATTAAACCATTGATAAAGAGCTTTCCAATGTGTTTTTTTCCCCCTGATTTCTTTCTAGTATTTAATCATAGAAGGGGCTCTCTTTGCACAAATTTGAAAAAAATTGGATAATGATAAACTTCTAATATTTAAACTTATGTACCATTATGGAATCAAAGCAGGCAAAACCAATTTGTGACTCATATTACAAAAAATCTCTTCACAAAGCAAAAACACTTTCAAGACAGATGGAGAAATGGTATGAACGCAAATTCTATATAATTTTATAACTATATGTATTTTATAACTAATGCTTGGCAATGGGTTTTCACTTTCATCATCTGTCATTTACATAGAGAAAATGCTTTGGAGGTGAAATTGGAAAGCATTTAACTGAACTAATTTCTAGGGAATCTTTCCAATATAGAAAAAGTGTTGAAAATTATAATGGTTAGTTACAATGAATTACTAAGGAAAACTTTTGATATGGCACGGTAACACCTCTCTAAAAAATAATATAAAAGTAGAATGAATCCTCCCTAAACTTTGTTGTTGTTCTAAAGTTTTAGTCTTTCCACGAGACAGGTCAGGAAATTTAAGACAATGAACCAGGTCCTTGATACCTTCAAAAATATTTCTAAGCCTTTTCCGTCCTTTAACATCTATGTGCCAGGCTGCAAATCTTTAGGGACACTTGTTTCTTAATAGTTTACCCATCCCCACAGGTGTTAATTTAAACCAATGTACTCAATGAACCATGACAACGGCAACTGTTCAAAATAATGAGATGTTGTTTTCAGGATTTGTGAAGTTATTACAACTGAGTCTGTAGTTGTTCAGAAGACTAATTACTAATCAAGTGATTTCTAACTAAACTTATATATCCTCTTTCCCTTTATAGCACCCTGGATGGAATGACTTTTCTCTCACAAACATGTTTATATAGTACATATTCATTCCTATAACTGCTAGAGGTATGGATTTAAACTTCTAATATGTATGCAATGCCCAGTGCTCGCTGATTAAACGTTGGCAGAGACAGGACAATGGCATTGTGGCTCCACCACCTGGCTCAACGGCACTCTAAATGCATGTTCCAGATCAATCCCCAAACGCCTGTTTTAGGTGAGCCTAACAACTAAAAGAACGGAGGTAAGATTAGCTTGTTTGTTGGCACACAAAGCATTTTGGGTATTACAGGACCTAAAATGTAACAAATCATCTAATATATTTTTCTTCGTAACAAATTTTTTTTCCAGATAGGAGCAAGTTGTTTTTGTTTTGCAAATAGGAGGAAAAACCTTGATTCTCTCACCAAAGAGGTGTAAAGTCAGCGTCACTAATTCTAACGTTTTACTTTTCTTCGAAATCTTAACTGAATTTCTAAATCTTAACCAGGCACATCAAATCCTATCACTATCATACAATTATTATAAAACGCTAAAATTTTGTATATACCACAGTTGGATTCTTTGAACGCGAGTGGTAAGAGTACTATAATTGTCCAATAGTACAACAGTCCTTAAAAAGTTATCTGAAACAAATTTAAAACCAGCCTCAAGAAATGTTAATAACGGAAAGACACGAAAATGCCTAAGAAAGAAAAAACAGACATGATGTCTGTAAACTTTCAAAATAGCCGAAGAGGCTCTTCTTTCTTGAACTGGAGCTCAAAAGCTACAAAGGGTGTGTTGCACGACCCGGACCCTCTCCTAAACCTGCCTCGGGATTTCCGAACACACAGAAGGAGCGCTTCCTTAGCGGTCCCCACTGCACCTGACGCGGGCGCGGGTCCGGAACATCCCTCGCGCCCGGCCTTCACGGCTTCGCACAGACCCGGCGCCGCCCTGAACTCG